AAAATAACTTGCACGCACCTCGCCAGCGCAGGCGACGCTCACACCACGCACGCGTACAACACATATGACGGCATACGGGCGAAGGCACCGTATATGCACCATGCGACAAGTTATAGCACCACTTTTATGTATTTTACAAGTTTATGCACCAAACTGACTGTGCCGGACAAGTTGAGGCACCCGTGATGTATTTAACTCTTTTTAGAAAAAGGAGGATGACCCTTAGCCTCTGCATCTGGGCGATGCATGCAACTATTTTACTAATTATTCATAATGACTTTACAAAGTGATACATCAGTAAGTGTAAAGCCACCTACTTGTCAACATCTGTCAATACTCCTATCCACTTAATGAAGGGGTGCCGAAAGTCCGAGCCAAATACCAAACAGACCTTGCACCAAAGCCTAACATCTAAAGCCAGAGGCCCCAACCAAGCCGTTGCCGAGTCTAGGGCACACGCCAGTCTGGCGCACTCTCAAAGGCCGCCGCCGCCGTCTTCCACCAATCCATCTTCAGAGCAGGAACTGACGCATCGACCTTGCCAGGCCTGCCATCGACGCCACCACGGCGCCACACAACGTCACCTCCATACGCACGTCCATCATCATGTATCTTTTGCCGAGATCCTGCTGCGCCACACCGCCGAGACTCCACATTGTCGATGTGTGACATGAAACGTCGCTCCACCGCTAAAATCCTCCACCGGTCCCTCGAGCCAGTGCACACCTCCAAGAATGACGCCCCCAAGAGGGTAACGACACAAGAGCGTCGCCGTCATCCGATCAACTAATCTAGATTTTTCCCCGGATGTAGTGGATAGAGGTCTTGAGTTTCTCCACGACAATGTTTTCAGGAAGGAGACGACACAGAAACACCGCCATCGCCAGCCTTGCACTAGTAGAAAACATGGCTTTGATCACAGCTCAATATACACATTAGTCTCGGTTGCATTACGAACCGGGACTAATGTGAGCATTAGTCCCGGTTCGTGCGGCTAAAGGCATTAGTCCCGGTTCAAATGAGCCCTTTAGTCCCGGTTTGAGATACGAACCGGGACTAAAGGGCATCGCACCCTTTAGTTCCGGTTCGTGTCTCAAACCGGGACTAAGAGCATCTCCGGCCATTGGCCCCCAAGGGGCGCCTAAAATCGTCGCCTGGGGGTGACCCGGCGCAAAAAATGGGCCTGGGGCGAGTTGGTCCCCAGCCGCCGCCCCCAGGCGCGTTCAAAAAATGAAAAAATATAGCAAATTTAGCCAAAGTTCGGCAAAGTTCGGCTTAAACACTACAAATTTCGGCATATGTTAGACATGTTCGCGGATTTTCATTACATGCATAGTAAACTAATAAAAAAACTTGCTAAACACCGAGTAGTCGGCGTCGTCGCCGCCGTCATCGGCCTTCTCCTCTTTGACGTGGGCGCCCCTGCTGGACCCCTCCCCAGCGTCGCCATGGCGGGCTGGTGGCGGTGGTGGCGCGTCGTCGTCGCCACTGTCGTCGATGATGATGACCCCTCCTTCGCCGCGGCCTCGGCGGCGCTGCGCGAAGCGCCGCAGGGCGGCGCACTGGCGCTCCCTCGCCATCTTCAGGGAGTCCTGGCGTGCCCATTCAAAGGCCGCGTTGTCGTCAAGCTCGACCTCGCCGTGCTCCGTCTTCACCGGCGCCAGCCCCGGCTCCGTCTTTGGCTTGACGAAGCGCAGAGGAGGAGCCGACGAGGAGGCGCGCCGGCTGCCCTCATTGATGACGATGCCGGCACTGCGAGTGCGCCGGCCGAGCGGCGTCTCCGCCGCGGGCTCGGCCTTGATGCCGAGCAGCGTTGGAGTGCCGGAGGAGTGGGAGGAGGAGCGCGAGGAGGAGGAGGAGGAGAAGGCGCCGAACCTCCTTGGCGCCCATTGCTCGTCGCGTCGGCGGTGCGCCGGGGCGGCCTCCCTCGCCGGGGGGTACGCCAACGGCGGGTTGTTGTCGCCCTCGAGGTGCATCAGCACGCCCTCAAGGTTGCGGCCGGGGGCGCCCCACCATAGGTGGCGCCCCTCGCTGTTCTTCAGGCCGCCGACCACCGGCGCGCCGTTGGTGGACGCCAGCTGCTGCTGCTGACGTCGCTCGAAGTACGCCGCCCAAGCCGCGCGGTTGTCTGCGGCGTACTGGGGGAGGAAGAGCTAGGCGTCGGTGAGGGAGGCGCGCACGACCTCGACCTCGTCGGCGAAGTACGAGGGTTTGGCCACGGCGTCGGGCAACGGGGGAATGGGCACTCCCCCGTTGCTGAGCCTCCAGCCCGTCGGCCCGGCGCGCATGCCGGCGGCGCCGGGATGTTCGCCTGGAACAGGAGCCACGACTCCTGTTCACGGAGCGAGCGGCGGACGAAGCCGTTGGCCGCCGCCTTGTCGCCTGGGAAGCGTTCGGCCATCGGGAAAGGGGAGGGAGATGGAGGGGGCTGGGCGGCGGCTCACGGGAGAGGAAGGGCCGGGGGAGAGCTCGGCGGCGGCGCTCGGGAGAGGTAGCGCTCACCAGAGGCGAGTGAGGCCATATATAGCCGGGTCGCGCCCGTGTGTACGCGTCCAAGGGAGGGGAGGCGTCGGGCGTCGTCCCGTGACGCGCCGCCCGTGAGGAATCAATGGCAAAGCTGACCGGCGGCAGCCTTGCCATTGATTCCCCGCGGGAAACCGAGGCGTCGGGAGAAGACGAGGCGGGCGGTGTCGCTGACGCGGCTGGCCCGCGGCTCTTTTGCATCAAAAACGGTTCGTCCGGCACCCCCCAGCGTGCCGGGTTCGGGTTGGGTCCGCCGGCGCCAATTTTGGCCCGAGCCGGCGAAAAATGGGCCCTTAGGGGCGCAACTGGGCCGATTTTTTGGCGCCGGCGACCGAAAAGTCGCATGGTGGGCCTTGTTGGGGGCGAGGCTGGAGATGCTCTAAAGATTAGACCTTTAGTCCCGGTTTGAGACATGAACCGGGACTAAAGGAACTCTACCCCCGATCGCCTTTTCAGTTTTGTAAAAAACAAAAGAAAATGATAAAAACTTTAAAAATTATAATCCTTCGAGATGTAGTTATGTTACTACATCTATTAGTTAGGAAAATTAAAAAACTTAAATTTGGACATGTTTTGCAAAAAAGTGTTATGAAAAAGTAAAACGGCCATATCTTTTGCATACGATGTCGAAAAAACCCGCATAATATATCAAAAAAATCTGCACGAAAATCTGGTCAAATTTTTAGGATCCTTAAATTCTAAAAGGAAAAAAAGTTATGCTCAAATTTCAGTTTTTTTTAATTTTGGTTAAATCTGGTCAAACTATGGTCAAACTACTTATTCAAGAAGTATTAATGGTACTAAATAATTATTCAAGAATATTAAAATAATTATTTCAGTATTGAATTTTGGTCAAATATGGTCAAACTATGGTCAAACTACTTATTCAAAAAATATTAGTGTTACTAAATAATTATTGTTTTTAGAATAATAATTTCAAACTCAAACAGTGAAACATGTGACTTCATGTTCAAACTAAACTCCTGAGGATTAATAGGATTGACATCTTACTATTGTGAGGAAAACAACAAGTGCAGACTTAGAAACGAGGGGGGATAGAACCCGAAAGTTAAGCGTGCTCAGGCTACGGAGGGGGGTGATTCAGAATCACGCAAAAGAACTGTCCCTCCCCCTCTGGGAGGACTTGTTCGATGCACAAATCTCATATTAGGTCTCTTATTCATTGCTGAATCTACTCGATGGCTGGTAGTTTGCTCGTATTTGGACTTTCATTGCATTGCATTGCACTGCATGCTGCTAGTGCACTTTTATGTCCGTCCTTTAATTACTTTTGTATATGAAAACTTCATCAAATGGAATACCTGTTGAATGTAGATTCACGGTATATTCCCCGAGCAAGTCCCAATCATCGCACTCACCGGCATATCGGTACATCTGAATAGACTTTGCTTTGCTCAAAGCTGACTTAGACAGAACTTCTTGTCCATGCTAAATCCTTCTGTATAACTTAAAACAAGGTCTAAAATAGCAGGGTTTTTTTTTTGCTAAACACATAGTCACCCCTCCCTATGAGCACCCTTCGAGTGACTGAGCCAACATGTGTTAAGATTGACGAAGTCATCACAGACGCATGAAAGAATAAAGCAGTTACATCCTGAAATAAACGCAGAAAAATGCAAGCACCCATCCCAAGTCTAGAACTTCAACTTGGGTTAGACAGGTTCCACCACAAGAAACCTAACAATCCAATCACTCAAGATTTCTTACAACACCATATAAACTGAGAAATTGGTTGTTACATTGACATGGTCAATTGGGTTGCACGCAGATATTTCCCCCGTTGCCAAATCTACATCCGACCCCTATGGTTTTTGTCTAATATATGAATCATCCAGGGACATCTGACTGATATGCAAATCTGGCAGGAACACTCTTCTCCTTCGCCTCGAAATCTTGCAGGAACATACTTCGCCTCCGTTTGCGCCATGGCTATTCCATTCATTGTGAAGAACGTGCCAGAGACAAAAGGCAAGACCTTGGAAGAGATTCAGGCTTCAATAAACTGCGGCACATGAGTGGTTTGGAGAAAGTTAGATGACACATTTTTCTTTGCTCTAGCAATTGTACGCAATGTGTATCAAATCTGTAACGAAGATGTGTATCAGGGCAGCTAAAAAGTGCACAAGATTTCCATGTTGGTGTACCCTTCAAGAGGATTTGCAACTGCCTCCTCTTCTATTAGATTTACCAAAACCTTATGATATATAGTCCAACTAAAGTGAGTTAATTTGCGTCTGCTGATGCCATCAGCTGAGAGCAAGCAATTACAAAGCTGTAAAGCTGCAGTGCTAAGCATCAGATAGGGTAATGTAAAGCAGCAGGCAGAATATGAGGTATTGTGAAGTTGTAACCGATCAGATTAAAGTGAACTGTTTCACAGTACCAGATATACAAAAAAATCAGGAACTCCTGAGTAAGTTTCAGGTGACAAACCTGATAATTTAAACATGAGTGGCTTAGCCATCAGCAGGCCTCTCCTCCTCCTCAAGCTCCATTTTACATATGAAGCACTCCCTCTCAAAAATCAGGAACTCCTGAGTAGGAAATTCAAGACATTTGCTGATATTAGAAAAACTCTGCACTGCAGTTATTAGATGAACAAACTAAAGAACGTGATGTAACCTGTAACTGCTGCTGGCTGAACAAGTGCATCATCCCAGAATCTGATGAAGCAACTAACTCAATGAGTTTATCACAACGGTCTAGAGAATCGCCAGCTTCAGAAAGGGAGATGGATGCCTACAAAATATTAGCATCGGACATCAATATACCATATGCGTACTGAAACAGCAGAACAGCAACCATTTCGTCTATATTCAATGTAGTAGGGCAGATACTTGCAGAATCTATTTACAAGATCACCTGCATGGATCGTAGAATTGTTTCTGGCAGGCAGCATCTTCGGCAAAGCCCTCGAATGATATAACCAGCAGTACTTTCAACCGAACCATGACAATCAGAATACCAAGCATCAAGTCGTGAAATTTCCATTGAAACTCCAGGTTGAAACCGATTGAGTTCACCTACAAAAATAAATTATCGATATAACTATTGCACAAAATATTATTTGCATTCAAGAAAAAGAACTGAATCGTACTTTTGTTCTAAATTCTAGATACCTTTAAAGCCAGCGGCCATAATTGCAGCAAGAAGACCTCCATCATTGGCTTCATGAAGACCAAACCCATCACCTTCTGTTGCTAAGCAACGGAGCGCAACTTCAATACAGCAAGGATCTTTAGACGAGACCTTAACTTCCACCTGTCCATGAATTATACAGTCAGAAGTTGCAGAAGCATTCCAACAACAACAACAAAGCCTTTAGCAGAAGCATTCCCTCAAAAAAAAAAAGGTTGCAGAAGAAACCATCACAAGCAATAACTAGAAATTGAAATGTAAGAAATTGAAGCGTAAGCTTTAATAATCCTTAATAAACACCAAGGCATGGTCTGTAATGTACAACACTTCATATTATATCTTGGAAGCATAATATCCATATGGCCTTCAGGAGAAGAGAGATGGACTCGACCTTCAGCTGACGATGCAGCACATCCTCTTCGCTGATAGTTGAATAAAGTGCACTAGTCAGAGCCGTGCATGATGTTGCATCTGGAGTCATGCATTCCCCAGAAGGTAGACAGAGTATTGCCGTTGCATGCAACTCAAGGAAAACAAGCTCTGATGACTCAAATGGGCTTGTCTCGACAGCATTTAACCATGGTCTCTCTTCCCCTGATACAGAAAACCAGAAAATATAAAATAATGGCAACAAGTTCACCACCGTATACTTTCACATGTTTAGCGGTTTAAAAAGCATATTTGTAGGCTAAAGGGCCATAATGATATAAACATTTATTTGTTTTCGAGAAAAGAGGTTTGTGTTTCGATGAAAGTTTATTACTTACTTTCTAATAACAAGAATGCTAACTCCAGTGTTTGTGTCGCTGCAGCAACAGCTTGATCCTTTTCTTCTGCCGAAAGCATTTCAGGGGGAACAGACGAATTCTCCATCTCGCATCTAAGCCAACCCCGGTATGTTGCATCCAGGGAGTAATATTCATGCTGTCTCACCACAAAAGCAATTACTTTGTCAAGAATACCAAGGTACTGACTAAACTCTCAGTGGAAATACCAGTACTGGAAGCATCAAGAGAAGAAGCACAACACATTAGGACAAAAAATGAGATCTTACCCAATCTTCAAACTCTTCTAAGTTATCAGACACCTCTTGATCTTCCAGCGAAAATAAATTTTCCTTTTGTTTCAATGGTTCGGCAAGGATGGCAAGCAACTTATGTGGTCCTACTGGTAGTTCAGGGACTCTCCTCATTGATATTAAGGAAAACTCTCTGAATAGTGTGTTGCTGATGATAAAGAAATTGATGGTAAGTTGCAATGCTACGAAGTATAAAGGAGGATAAATATCTTGTTTCATCAACCAAAAATAAGTTCAACTCTCACAAAGTGAGAAAAATAAATGAGTACTGTTTTAGCAATCAAAGAGGAACTCAATGGTAACAAAGAAAAAAAAGATAAGCAAGTACTGTTTACTGATATATTTCAGCAACAAACATACGGACGCAATGCAATAAGAGAATAAATGTTTCCAGGACCATGCAGGAGGGCTGCATGTATTGACTAGCAAAGTTCTCTGGCACAAGAACAAATTAGATATAGTTACCTATGCATCAATGCCCGTATCAGAAGTTTCCCTGTGATCGTCTCAAAGCCTGGAATTGAGGATGGTGGTGTGAAGCAAAGCCACTGAATGATCATTGCCTTCTGAAGTGCTTGCAGGTGATGCTGTTCCGCAACATCAGAAAAATCTTCATTGTACTGATGGGGTTTTGTTTCTCGAGACCTTGAAAGAACTCTGCACTAAATTAAAATCTTGTCAGAACATGTCCACAAATAAAGATAAGTTAAATATGTGAAATTTGGTGTATTTCATTGTTATATGTATCCCCACATTCAGCGAACCTCTCAATTATCTCTTCAAAACAAGCCTTGGATGCATCTCCAGATGAGAATGGCAAATACTCCACAGCAGAGAGGAAAAGTTTGTACATGGTATGCAAGCTGTTGCAGGAAAAAAAGGTGTGATGCCAGCTAATCAAAGTCTTGGAAGCAAAATAAACCATCAGCAATAACACATTTGAGAACATTTCAGTGTGAAAGAACAACAACATTCCTAGCACAATTTTTATGGGTAAACATAAAAAGTTGAACATGCAAGTATTGTACCAATTATACTTTCTATGGAATTGTCATAAATCAAAGGCTAAAGGGAACTGCACCGAAGACACATAGCTCACAAACTAAAATCTACTGGTAAATATTAGAACAAACATGAACAGCCAATGACAGGTACATCATGCACTAATATGTCACAGAAGATTACAGAATACTAATATATGTAACAATTCCCAGATTGCAAAAATATAAAAAGGTATAATCACATTTAGTAATACCTGCTATTTAACCTTAGTTCCATCATGTCCACAAACAAATCAATGCAAACATCACGTTCAAGCTGAGAGGCATATACTCCAACCAACTCTTCCTGCCCCTCTGAAAACAAGTATCTCACGTACCTGGAATTAATCATTAGCTTTTCCTGCTGTGAAGATTAAGAAACAGGCAATGTACCAACATAATATGGAGAAAATAGGAATAAAAGATTCATCTGAAGATCAATGACCAAGCTTAACCTTTAGTTAAGAGAACAGTAGAAGTAATGGAGTAAGCCCTTGACCCAACAAAAAGAAAGAAAACTACTTATGCAACTGAATACTTTTCATAAAATTATATTAACTGACACAAGGAAGGCCTTTTTTTAACCAAACAGATGCCATTTTAACATGACATTACTCCAAAAGGCTAAAAAGGCTCAAAGCCACACAAAGATTGGTAAACAATACTTACTTGTTGATGATGAGATCACCGACAGTAACCAGCTTTTCCTCAAACTCGTCTTCCATTTCATTGCTGAGAAGGTATCTCAAAACAAGAACAATATGTGCCCCAAAACGTATCATGTCGGAATCATCACGGGACCTAATTGGACCAAGAAGTTACTCAAAAGTTAAATAATAAAGCAAAACTAAATATGGGGTTATCTAAACTAAAATCATAAAAGGAGTACCTCAAGACGTTTTGACCCTCTTCGATGGAAGACAACCATGACCATAGAAGGTCAAGAAGATGAGCTAAATTTCCACTCATGAGATTCATCTACCAAATAAGTAAACATGAAATGGTTAGGCAAGTGAACGATCGTAAATTGAATTATACAGCTATTGGAGAACTCCATTTACATGGAAAGTAGTTCGAGTATTTGTGTTTATTCCAGTTAATAGCATGAGTCATCAGAATGTTTGATTGAGTCACAATTTTTTTGCAAAATACAGATTTAGTAGAACGTTAACTAAGATAATGCTTAAATACTTGGTTTTCAGATTAATCATCTACAGATTCAGAACACATGTCTAAACTAGCCATCAAAGTGGCAAATTGTACAGCAACTGTAAATTACTGCCAGTTTCCGCTTATCTAATGTCAAGTAAATTATCCAGCTGTACTAGAAAACATTAAATGAACTTAGTAGAGAAATTGCATATTCTTCACTCTTGGAAATGTATCTTACCTCAATTTGTCGATGCTGCTCCCGACATGCTCGAGAAACAGTTTCATGAACAAGGTCACTGCATCGCAAGTGACACATATAATAAGCAGGCAAATAGTGTATGTGTGGAAGTTCTAAACAATGTTAGTACAGCAGTACCTTGAGTGGAGTTTCTGCAGAAGTGCAGCTATATCACGAGGTTGCTGATCAAGAACATGATATGGCCAATTTTCTGGGCCAAGCTGGGTTCCATTCATATCATCATCAAACTCTTTCTCTTCTGGTCTGCTGGTTTGATATTGAGATAATTCTATATCCACTTTCACATCTAGCCAGGATTTAGCCATTGCCCAGCAAGCTGACTAAGAGATGGAGGTAAGAAACCAGCATCAGAGAGAATAACATTGGATCAGATTAGAAAGGCAGGCTTAGAAATGAATTGAATAATATACATACCTCCCAGTCAGTACAGATTGGCAAGGTACGCTTCAAGTTACTGCACTGTAAAGCATATACAGCCATCTCATACTGGCCACCATCGTGTTCAGCAATTTTCTGCAATAGTATAATTAATTTAGAGTTGAGTTTAACAAAGTATTAAGTATTGGCAACATATACACACATAACTATTTTGAAGACAAAACCATTGTAACATTTACAGAACCACATTAAATATAACAGCAAAGCGCAAAGCAGCATAGTTCAACAACATGAGTACAGCACGGGAGTTTACCTCTGAAGCACAATAGGATGCCCATTTCCAAAGACGCCACTGCCGTCCAATACCACTTTCCAGTTCAATTGCTTGTAGTGTTCTAGAATTTCCATTCTTGAGCATGGCCTCCAGGGAAGGAAACAGATCTATGCCACCAAAGGGGCAAAGAGTGGCAGCTCTCCATGACTGAATATACTCGAGGCGTTAGCATCAAGTGGAGGTGATCCATCATAATAAATACATATGCCTATACAAGCTGACCAACCTGTCCAGCAGATCGGCACAATTCACATGCCTCTTCTAATCTTCCAGCTCTCAAGAGAGTCCAGATATCTTCTAAAAGCAATTCATCTTGCTTCTGCTTACACATAAAGGAAAGGTGAGTTCTGATTTTACTAGAGGCAAATTCTAGTTACTTCACCAGAGATGATTAATGAGAAGAGATCTTTAACAACTGAAAGAGATTTGTCTTCTTTGTAGTGCTGTTAGTCCAGTAATTACTGCTTTAACTTAGTAAATAATTAAATTTGAAGGTTAAGTACTAGACAGTTATCCAAGGCATCCTCTTAAAGTGAGATTATGAGGTGAAAGGTGGCCTATTACCACATTAAAGAGTATCAAAAATATTCTGGAAAGGTCAAGTAGAACCAATTATAATGCATACTTGCAGCATTTTAAATATCATAATAAATTATTAGCAGCTTTATGAAAGGATCTTTACACTGTATTCGAAATAGATACCAAATAGCCTACCTTGTCATCAGGAAGAAGTTGGGCTACTTCACGAGTTGGAGCATCAAAATCCACATGCTTCACTATATTAGAATCATTATTCCTTCTCTTTAGGTACCTCTGTGTACGATGCCAAACACCAGAACTTGGTAGATATGAACCAACATGAGATCCTCTCACCTACAGAACAGAAATATAACACCACAAGAAATGTGTGTACCTCTATCATCAATTTGCTCATGAATAGTAAGTTAAATACTCTGTTACTCCATAGCTCATTGTGTGATTAAAACAAAAGCAAGGTCATTCAAGGAAGAAAAATAACTACTGAAATTTAGATGATCAGGATAGATCTTTATGAAAGAGCGATGTACACATGAGATTTACTGCCTCCATCCAGTTTTATTAAGCGTCTTCCATTTTGGCTTTTGTCCACAATTACAAGGCCCACACTTTCTTCCATATACTTTTGTTCAATTTCCCTCTGTTATGCACCGGTTGCATGCCATTAATGTTTGTTTGCATGAAAAAGTCAGAATGACGCTTGTATGCACTTACTGCCCATGCTCTGGTTGCCTGCATTCTGATTTCAGTGCACCAAATGCAGCGCCTTGAGGCAGAGTGACATTTCACATGCATGCTTGCATTTCCTTTCACAGATTATTTGATGATGCTGGTGTTATTAGGTGATGGAACAGAGAGCAGTTGCATTGAATATATTGACAAATATTAATTAGGGGTAATTTAGACAATTCTAGTACCGTGTTGATCATTGTTCCTTCTATATTCCTGTTCAGAGGGAGTACATTGTAGCTTAATACCAAATATTTAAGTTAACATATCGTGGAGAGATGTATCTGTTTACTTTGCTAATTCTTTTATTGATGGAACTTCTAGAATCTATATTACCTAAGGCGGGTTGTTCCATTCAATCAATCATGTTCCACTACAGGGATCCCACGTATCAAACAGGAAATAGAAAAGACTAAAGTCTTAGTAAAAAACATAGCATGGTTATCTTACCTTTTTCTCCAAATCAAGACTTTCAGAAGCAAGTCCTTCAAGCCAAAGTACAATCCGCAGACACAATTGTGCTGTAAGATCTGTTGCAACATAGCGGCAAGCCTCCTGATGGGATGTAGTTGGTGACTGTCAACAACAACAAAATATCCTTTAGATAAATCCACAGATACAAGCACATGAATAGAAGGAAAAGACTTTAAGACATTCACAATTAGAAATGTAGCTTACCATGAATAGTCCTTCAGGAAGCTCTTCATTTGCTGCAATGTAGCACATGGAATTTCATGCATGGCGTAGCAAACAGTTTACTTAGAAGAACATTGATTTATAGCCACTGCTACTTCAACTGACTTGTCATAAAAGTTATTACCTTTCCCATAGAGGTACCAAAGAAGTGACCAAGAAGCAGCTTCATCCAGTAATAGTTGTGCTTTTTGCTGCATAAGTTTATCCTCCACCATCCGAACCTTTCCTGTGGCGGCATACCTGAAAATTAAAAAGCATCCCCACATTAGCATCCACAAGCTACAGCACAGGCATCTATTACCTTGGAAAATAAAGTACTTGTAGCATAATAATTATTCATCTTCACGCGATGAAAAAATAATGATTGTGGTGTATATCAGTAAAGTGTAATGTGGCAAAGAGTTGCATCCAAGAATTGGTCAGCAGTAGAATATGCCAATCATACAAAGTCATACAATGGAGCATTATTACTAGTGTAAGGCAATATAAAACCTTAGTGACTCTGAAGCGTTTCTACATGTCCTCTCAAATTGTAAAATCACGTCCGGGAAGGGCATCAATCCTACAACAGAAGAACACATCAGTAAACACAAATAACCGCAAGGATATAGCTAGATAGTATGTGTTCACAGATTTCTGGTAAGCAAACAAAAGTACAGGTTTCTCCATGCTATTAATCTAGTACTCCCTCCATTCCATAATTCTTGTCGTGGTTTTGGTAATAGATATGTGTGCGCCAAGTCCTCTGCTCACGGGAAAAAAAGAAGGAAAAGGCACATTTCTCTAAAGTTGAGAGCATGACTCAAGCACCTTTTACTTCACTATTCACTGCTACTTGAAGATTTGTGCAGCTTAGTTTGTGGGAAGCCTTTTTCACTAACTTATTGGTTAGTGAAAATTAAACAAAACAAAAGGGAACGCAATGACATGGATCATATACAAACAACGGATGTTAATAATAATAACTACAATGTGTAAATACAATATTCAAATTAAGAACTGTCAGCAACGGCAGAGCATGCTAGATTATAAGCATCACTGCCCATATGGCATTGTCAAACTGACCTTGTATTGCTGAATCAAGAAGGGATGCAAACGCTGTAAAAGTTGTTTCTCCTTCTCGTGGCATATCGTCCTCCAGCTTGACTAGATTCAACGTTGATCTTGCCGCCTTCCTACCTGAACCACCATCCAGCAGTTTCGGTCCATTCAAGCCATCAACGTCGGAATAATCAGCAGCCTCCCGCTTGACTTCTTCAAGTAGTAGACCAGCATTGGGCCGCCTAGGTATGCTGCTTCCATCACGCAACGCCCTTGCTTCTGAGAATCTGGAGACTGAGGTCCCCAACATTGGGGAGTCGTTTGAAGAAGATAGTCTCTTTCTGAGTAAACCACAAGGGAAAACAACAAAATCAGCTAGCGTAGCAACTAGTCCCAGTAGAGATACTGAAGTGGCATGTTCTCACATTTCACACAAGTAGGCTACATTAACCCTTCCAAGAATGTTTTTGCTACACTAGGTACTGGCACTGAATTGCACAGATCTTTACTAGAATACAACCTGCTCGGACATCGAGCACTTGCAAGCACTGAGGTGGGTGTTCCATGTGGTCACAAATACTACAGACTTAGTGTGCATTGCCAATATGGCAATATCAACCCACCAATTGGGTTGTCTACTTGTCTGCTGTGCTCTGGCCACCAAATAACCAAGTCCGGCCCAGGCACGCTCCACATATCCATCAAATTATATGATCGCATCACGGCAGAGCTACTAAAATACTACTTGAGAAAATGACTAACACGCCGCAATTATCCAATTACAGCGGATATTCTTAAAATGCTGTCAGGGTGGGATGAGCAGTGAGTAGCATATGACCTGATTCAGTGACGAATAAACCATTTGTACCAAACATCTGAGCGTCAACGACTGACTTCTATCGATTTCCCCACTCACTCTGACTCCATTTCGCCACTCGATTAGCGGCGAGTCAGAGCCACCACGCTCGCCTCCACCGCTCTACCGAACCACCCGGACCAGCCAACGCCAGCATTCGAACTCGAGAGGCGGAAGAGGAAGAGGGCGTGCATCTCTCACCTGTAGCGGCGGTACTCCTCCCGGAGGCGGGAGGACTCAGGGTCGAAGTAGCCCGGCGTCGACATTGGCGGCGGGGACGGGGACGGGGACGGCGACGGGTCCACCTCCATGGGCCGGCGCGGCGTGGATCCGGAGGGGTTAGGGTTTTAGGGCCCGCTCGGCCGCCCTCCGCTCCCCAGAATCCTCGACTCCACTGCCCGGTTTGCACTTCTGTTTCAGATGGAGTGGAGCGATGGCGGCCGGAGGCGGTGAGGATGGCCGGTGTTAGTGCGGGAGGTTGGGCGGCGCCGTTCGGGCAGGGGCGGGGAGGGGAGGGAAGTGGAGGAGAGGAGGGGATTGCGGGCCGAGCGAGGAGACTGTTATGACACGGGCCACTCCGGGAGGTCGGCCCAGGTCCACTACTAGATGGAACAGAAGTGAATTCCAGGCCCAGAAGGGCGACCCAAGACAAAATCGCTGCGGACAAAAGGACCCGAATCATATTATTTTTTCTGTGTCTCAATTTTTTTTCCTGGCCGGTTCCTTTTCCTGTTTTACTTCTCTCCAGTTTTTGATCATTTTCTTTGTACTCACTCCGTCCCATAATATAGGACGTTTTTTGGCACTACACAAAAAACTTCCTATATTATGGGACAGAGGGAGTACTATATATTTGTTTTTATTTTTCGTTTAGTTTTCCCAAATTCCTGACTTTTTATTCAAATTCATGAACATTTTTTCTAAAATTCGTTAACTTTTTCAAATTCATTTTCTTTTCTTAAATTCATGAAAAAATTTAAAATTCTATTTTCCCCAAATTCATGTACTATTCAATTTCATGATTTTTTTTAATTCATGAACTTTTTTTTGAATTCTGTGAAGTTTTTTCAAACTCCTGAGCCTTTTTTCAAAGTCCATAAACATTATTCAAATTTGTGAATTTTTTTTAATACACGTACTTTTTTCAAATTTCACAAACATTTTTTCCATATCCAAGAACTTTCTTCGAACTCATGAAACTTTTTTGAATCTGTGAACATTTTTTTTCTAATTCAGTAATTTTTCCCAAATTTGTGTACATTGTTATGGAATTTCCTTTTTAAAAATTTCAAACAAAAATTCTGTCAAAATCAACTGCCAACAACCCATGGCCAGTGGTTAGCACTCAGTGGTCAATGGTGAACAATGAACCATCTCTCGCATGAGTGCCCGCTCGCTCGCTCGCGCATGAGATCCACTGTGTTAGGTCGGCCCACGAATTCTTTAGCATGAGCGCTGGTTGCATTATCCGCCAGGTGCAACGAGTGCTAAGGAGGAGGACTATAACAGGGCGTTAGTATGAAGGCCCCGGGCCCTGATGGTCTTCATGTGATATTCTTTAAGCGCTTTTGGCACATTGTAGGTGAGGAGCTCACAAAGGAAGTGCTTGATGCAATCAGCAATAAAAAGATCACAGATGGGTGGAATTCCACGAATGTGGTGCTGATCCCTAAGATGGACAGCCTTGAGATGATAACCCAGTTCAGGCACATCAGCTTATGTAATGTGGTATATAAGGTCACCTCAAAAATGCTAGCTAATAGATTGAAGAAAATCCTACCTGAGGTAATCTCCCCAACTCAGATTGCATTTGTTCGGTAGCAAGGACGGGCGGTTCGGCCAACTGCTTTTTCAAATCCTCAAACGCCGCATCAGCAGTATCACTCCAAACAAAGTTGTCTGTTTTCTTCATCATCTGATAAAGCGGGATCGCCTTCTCCCCCAACCGGCTGATAAACCGGCTCAGTGCTGCAATCCGACCCGCCAGTCTTTGAACGTCATTGATACACGCCGGTTTAGCCAGGGATGTGATAGCCTTGATCTTTTCCGGATTAGCCTCAGTGCGCCTGTTAGACACCAGAAAACCCAAGAGCTTGCCAGCTGGCACACCAAAAACACATTTGGCCGGATTAAGCATCATCTTCTAAACCCTCAGATTATCAAAAGTTTCCTACAAGTTAGCTATGAGTGTCTCTGATTTCCTGGATTTCACCACGATATCATCCACATAAGCATAGACATTGCGCCCAATCTGATTATGGAGGCAATTCTGCACACATCGTTGATAAGTCACCTGAGCACTCTTGAGCCTAAAAGGCATAGAAACATAGCAGAAGGCTCCAAAAGAAGTTATAAAGGCCGTCTTCTCCTGGTCCTTAACTGTCATTTTGATCTGATGGTAACCCGAATAAGCATCCAGAAAACTCAAACGCTCGCAACCCGCCGTAGCATCAATAATTTGATCAATACGAGGGAGGGCAAAGGGATCAGCTGGGCAAGCTTTGTTCAAATCCGTGTAGTCCACACACATACGCCAAGTGTCGTTCTTCTTAAGTACCAACACCGGGTTAGCCAACCACTCAGGGTGAAAAACCTCCACAATAAACCCCGCTGCCAATAGCCGGGCTACCTCCTCTCCAATGGCCTTGCGTCTCTCTTCATTAAAGCGACAAAGAAATTGCTTGACTGGTTTAAACTTAGGATCAATATTAAGGGTGTGCTCAGCGAGTTCCCTCAGTACACCTGGCATGTCAGAAGGTTTCCATGCAAAGATGTCCCGGTTCTCACGGATGAACTCGATGAGCGCGCTTTCCTATTTTGGATCCAAGTTAACGCTGATGCTGAACTGCTTGGATGAATCGCCAGGAACAAAATCAACCAACTTAGTCTCATCAGCCAATTTAAACTTCAAAGCCGGATCATGCTCTGTAGTGGGCTTCTTCAGAGAAGTCATATCTGCCGGATCAACATTGTCCTTATAGAACTTCAACTCCTCCATTGCACAAACCGACTTGGCATAAGCCGCGTCACCCTCCTCGCACTCTAGTGCGATCTTGCGGCTGCCATGAACCGTGATGGTCCCCTTATGACCCGGCCGAAACAACACTTCCTATATATAATTCTTTACCTCCGAACCATTCCGAAACTCCTCGTGACGTCCGGGATCTCATTTGGGACTCCAAACAACTTTCGGTATGCTGCATACTCATATTCAAACAACCCTAGCGTCACCGAACCTTAAGTGTGTAGACCGTACGGGTTCGGGAGACATGCAGACATGACCGAGATGGCTCTCCGGTCAATAACCAACAGCGGGATCTGGATACCCATGTTGGCTCCCACATACTCCTCGATGATCTCATCGGATGAACCACGATGTCGAGGATTCAAGCAATCCCGTATACTATTCCCTTTGTTAGACGGTATGTTACTTGCCCGAGATTCGATCGTCGGTATCCCAATACCTTGTTCAATCTCGTTACCGGCAAGTCACTTTACTCGTACCGTAATGTATGATCCCGTGACCAGACACTTGGTCACTTTGAGCTCATTATGATGATGCACTACCTAGTGGGCCCAGTGACACCTCTCCGTAATACGGAGTGACAAATCCCAGTCTCGATCCGTGTCAACCCAACAGACACTTTCGGAGATACCTGTAGTGCACCTTTATAGTCACCCAGTTACGTTGTGACGTTTGGTACACCCAAAGCACTCCTACGGTATCCGGGAGTTGAGATACTTGACATTGGAAAAGCTCTAGCAAAATGAACTACACGATCTTGTGCTATGCTTAGGATTGGGTCTTGTCCATCACATCATTCCCCTAATGATGTGATCCCGTTATCAACGACATCTAATGTCCATAGTCAGGAAACCATGACTATCTGTTGATCAACGAGCTAGTCAGCCAGAGGCTTACTAGGGACATATTATGGTCTGTGTATTCACACGTGTATTACGATTTCCGGATAATACAATTATAGCATGAATAAAGACAATTATCATGAACAAGGAAATATAATAATAATCCTTTTATTATTGCCTCTAGGGCATATTTCCAACAGTCTCCCACTTGCACTAGAGTCAATAATCTAGTTACATTGTGATGAATCGAACACCCATAGAGTTCTGGTGTTGATCATGTTTTGCTCGCGGAAGAGGTTTAGTCAACGGATCTGCGACATTTAGATCCGTATGTACTTTGCAAATATCTATGTCTCCATCTTGAACATTTTCACGGATGGAGTTGAAACGACGCTTGATGTGCCTGGTCTTCTTGTGAAACCTGGGCTCCTTAGCAAGGGCAATAGCTCCAGTGTTGTCACAGAAGAGTTTGATCGGCCCCGACGCATTGGGTATGACTCCTAGGTCGGTGATGAACTCCTTCACCCAAATCGCTTCATGCGCTGCCTCCGAGGCTGCCATGTACTCCGCTTCATATGTAGATCCCGCCACGACGCTCTGCTTGCAGCTGCACCAGCTTACTGCTCCACCATTCAACATATGCACGTATCCGGTTTGTGACTTAGAGTCATCCAGATCTGTGTCGAAGCTAGCGTCGACGTAACCCTTTACGGCGAGCTCTTCGTCACCTCCATAAACGAAAAACATGTCCTTTGTCCTTTTCAGGTACTTTAGGATATTCTTGACCGTTGTCCAGTGTTCCTTGCCGGGATTACTTTGGTACCTTCCTACCAAACTTACGGCAAGGTTTACATCAGGTCTGGTACACAACATGGCATACATAATAGATTCTATGGCTGAGGCATAGGGGATGACGCTCATCTCTTCTTTATCTTTTGCCGTGGTCGGGCATTGAGCCGAGCTCAATCTCACACCTTGCAGTACAGGCAAGAACCCTTTCTTTGGATTGATCCATTTTGAACTTCTTCAAAATCTTATCAAGGTATGTGCTTTGTGAAAGACCTATGAGGTGTCTCGATCTATCCCTATAGATCTTGATGCCTAATATGTAAGCAGCTTCTCCAAGGTCCTTCATTGAAAAACACTTATTCAAGTAGGCCTTAATGCTGTCCAAGAATTCTAGATCATTTCCCATCAAAAGTATGTCATCTACATATAATATGAGAAATGCTACAGAGCTCCCACTCACTTTCTTGTAAACGCAGGCTTCTCCATAAGTCTGCATAAACCCAAATGCTTTGATCATCTCATCAAAGCGAATGTTCCAACTCCGAGATGCTTGCACCAGCCCATAAATGGATCGCTGGAGCTTGCACACTTTGTTAGCATTCTTAGGATCGACAAAACCTTCCAGCTGCATCATATACAGCTCTTCTTTAAGATA